GGTTAGGGATGATCAGGCAGGCAGGCAGGCAGAGTGGTTAGGGGCATTCAGGCAGGCAGACAGGTGAGTGGCTAGGAGCCAGCAGTCCCAGATTGCAATCCTACAGGTCTGAACTGGCAGTCGGACATCCCCTGAGGGGGTCCCGGATTGCAAGAGCGTGCAGGTGGGGCTGAGGGACACCCCCACTTCCCCATGCACGAATTTCGTGCACTGGGCCTCTACTTTTTATGTATGAACAAACTGTCTTTATTAAAAAAAAAATCTGTCCTTCCAACTTAATTCCATCTGTATTACCACTCTCTTCTTAGTTTCCAGTGAACTTTGCCTTCCTTCCCTATACTTAACTCCATTTCCTTTACTTTGTTTTTTGTCTTCATATTGTACTACTGAAGACTCCCTAAACTCCAAATCTAAAGCCTTTCTATAATCCCTCATCTTACCTGTCTCACTGGAAAAATCTCTTGACTTCATGGACATTATATTTTTTTTCCGATCTAGTCTACACAGAGCAGTGAGCTTAATCCTCTTAAACGCAAAGATCTGACAAGTAATGCCTTAGAAATCCTTACACTATCCACAGCCTATGAAACTAACCCTGTAGCTTCAAATTTAAGGTACTCCAATATTAGCTGTCCTGGCTTTTATACCACCACTCTCCTAAATACTCACTTTCTTCCAGCCATGGGACTTTCTTGCTGTTCCTCAAACATCCACAGTTCTTTACTATCCCCTTATTATTTCTCTTTGCAAATTTTAGCCATTCTTTCAAGGCCCAGCTCAAATGTTTCCTCTTTCATGAAGCTGGATTTGAAATCTCACTTCTTAAATCCTGTGGATAAAAGATTAACAAAAATCCTTGCTGTATAGACAAATTTGACCGTGGGTTAATTTTCTAGCCCTGGCTGTGTTTCTAAGGAGAAATGATGAAATGTATTACTAGGCAAGATTGCATGTGGTACAAATGAACTCTAATAAGATAATTTATACCTAGACTGAGTGAAAACTATAAATACCTGGTGGAAATAGCTTTGTGCTTCTCTAATGCAGTGACTCTTAACTGGAGTATGGCTTTTGCAGCAACCTAGAAGCTATGTCTATGGAATTATTGCTAGATTAACAGACTAGAGGCCCAATGCACAAAATTTGTGAAGGGGGAGGGGCTCCTCACCCTGGCCTGCGCCCTCTTGCAATCCAGGACCCCTCCCTCCTAACTGCCCATCTGCTCCCTCCTTACTGCTTGGCTCGCTAGTCCTTAGTGCTGCCTCCAGTATGGGAGAGGGTCCCACCATGCCAGGCGTGAGCCCAGCTTCTGGCAGAGCAACCTTCCCCCTGTGGGAACACACTGACCACCAGGGAGTAGCTCCTGTGTTGTGTCCCCTAGTGGTCAGTACACATCATAGCAACCAGTTCTGGTTGTTCTGCTGTAATGGTCACTTAAGCTTTTATTATGTAGAATAGAGGCCCAGTGCATGAAATTCGTGCGCAGGTACAGTCCCTAGGCCTGGCCTGTGATTAGGGCCATCTTTCCCAGTTGCCCACAGCCAGCCCCACTCCTTGCCACTACCCACCCCAGGTTCCCCTTTCACCATAGGCCCAGCTCAAATGTTTCCATGATCAGTGCCTGACGGCTGGGAGAAGGAACAGAAAAGTTGGCTGTTCTTGCCTGCTTGACGGCCCCACGCTCGCAACTGGTGGGATGAGGGCTGTGGCCTGGTGCTACCTGCATCCCCCCACCACCCGCCTCCATCAGGTGATTGGAGCCTGCCAGCTGAGGAAAGGGACCAAGAGGTCTTTGGTGTGCCTCATAGTGACTGCTCCAGCGGTCTTTCTGATTGTTCTGCCTTTAGGATCAATTTGCATATTACCCTTTATTATATAGGATAGAGGCCTGGTGCACAGGTGGGGGCCAGCTGGCCTGCCCTGATGAGGTCCTGGATCTGGGTGGGGGAGGGCAGTCCCACTTGGGGGCGGAAGCTGAACTGAGGGGCCATGGGAGGGGTTGGCCAGCCACCCTGCCCTCAATCAGGGTGGGTGAGGCTGATCAGGGATGGGCTGGCCCAGGGGGAGTGGCTGGGTTCACTGGCCACCGTGGGTGTCATAGAGACTGGTCATCTGGCTGTTCTGGCATTACGGTCGCTGGCTTTTTATATACTGTATATAGACTGTGGCACCTGGTTTTATTTTTATACATATCATTGATCAGTTGCCTCTTGCACACCCCTTACTGGGGATGTGCCGGCAACCAAGGTACATGCCCTTGACCGGAATCGAACCTGGGACCTTTCAGTCCTCAGGCTGACGCTCTATCCACTGAGCCAAACTGGTTTTGGCGTGGCACGTTTTTATATCAGGCTTCTAAGCCAAGGTAACTCTTAAATGTACCGGTCTTATTTCTTGCACTTAAGCTATCAGTTGTGGTGTGTGCAGAGAATAATTCTTAGATGGCTGTGTAAACTGCCATGAATACTACTCACTACCATGCGAGAAACTTTTAATGATGCTGGATTGGTGAGCTGTTTTCTGTGTGCTTTTGAGCAAACAGGTGACAAATGCAACCTATTCATGTATTATGAATGCAAATGAGTCTAAAGTTTCCTTTGATAGGTACCAGAGATCCATCACCTCACAACTTTGTATTTTGTGAGACTCCCAGTGCTTAAGATTATTGAGGTTAAGACCATGTCTTTCTCACTTAGTGAAGTTTTTGTAGTACTCCTGTGTAATCTGTGTGAACCAACTGAAGAATCTGAACCTATTTTTCACCATTAATAGAGGAGCAACTACCTCAAAGGGTTGCTGTGATGTTTAAATATTATAAATAGTACACACCATGCCCAAGTGGTAATGCCCTTATCATTATGCTAATATATATTAATATTTCTTCTTCTAAAGTACCTCTACAGATATACGTTAAGTGCCCAGTCACCGGTGACTGACACTATACTTTCCGTTGGAACACAAAACAGACTGCGTGTTTAATGTCAACAGTTCATATATTAATCCTGATTTTCACTCCAATATTCAAAAATTAGCAATTTGATTAGCAGGGATGGGGAAACTTTTTTCTACCAAGGACCATTTGGGTATTTAGAACATCATTTGAGAGCTACACAAAATTATCAATTTAAAAATTAGCCTGCTATATTTGGTCAAACACTTAATTAACTCACTCCTAATGCTTTGGCAGGGCCAGACCAAATTATTTTGAGGGCCTTTTATAGCCTGCGGGCCTGACATTCTCCACCTATAATAAAAGATGCACCATACTCGTATGAAGCTGGTGTCATACTAACAATGCCCTGCTCTCTTTCCTCCAACCTAAAATCTGGTCTGCTTTTAGGACAACAAATTGCTCATCCCTTGGTGACAGTAAAAGTTCACTGCCATTTCCACCCTAACAACAGGAATAAGATACATAACTTGTCCAAACAGTGCCTAAGGCATTTAGTGAACTGCTGAAATATTTTAAGCCAGTGAAACTACAAGTGAAGTGAGATAGTCAAAACTTCCCTTTTATACTCCTGATACCTCTTAGACCAAATGCTAAAAGTACTGCCAGTAAATATTGTTTCACCTTTATGTAGCAGAATACCTTTATAAACAGAAATCAGACCTGTTTTACTGTGGTTAGGGAAAGGCCACACGATTAATACTCTGACTAGCTGACATAGGAACAGTGATTGTGGTTGGCCAGACCATTGTCATCAGACTTTACCTTAACAATGAAAATACTACTCCTCTTCTGTGTAATACTAGATAAATTTATATGTCTCCATACTTATTCTAGGCCTATTCTACCTTAAGCCTTATAAAGTATGACTCAAAATAATGCTCCCTTCCTTCTTGCTCTCATCACCCAATATCTAAGACCCATATATTTTCTCACATTCCACAGAAAATTTTATTTTCCGGTTAAGTCCAATACCAGAAACTGTATTGTATCTAAAAATCAAAGGATCCCATTCTTTCCAGAAGTGCTCTAGAATATTTTTGAAAAAACGTAAAAATTATGTTAGAGAAATAAAACTATATTAATAGGATAGGCCAAGTGAGAAATAGGACAATCTGATTTACTTTTGGATTACTTTTCCCTCCGTAAAAAAATTATTTATTTTTTAAAAATATATTTTGATTTTTTTTACAGAGAGGAAGGGAGAGAGATAGCTAGAAATGTTGATGAGAGAGAAACATCGACCAGCTGCCTCTTGCACACCCCGTACTGGGGATGTGCCCGCAACCAAGGTACATGCCCTTGACCGGAATGGAACCCGGGACCTTTCAGTCCGCAGACCGACGCTCCACCACTAAGCCAAACCGGTTTCAGCCCATAAAAAAATTTAGATTTAAAAATTCGCTGGTTCAGCTGAAACTGGTTTGGCTCAGTGGTAGAGCATTGGTCTGCGGACTGAAAGGTCCCGGGTTCCATTCCGGTCAAGGGCATGTACCTTGGTTGCGGGCACATCCCCAGTACGGGGTGTGCAAGAGGCAGCTGGTCGATGTTTCTCTCTCATCAACATTTCTAGCTATCTCTCTCCCTTCCTCTCTGTAAAAAATCAAAAAAATTGGTGTGCTTCAATGTCAATCCATGAACCAGGAGGCTACGGTTCAATTCCCAGTTAGGACACATGCCTGGGTTGTGGGCTTAATCCCTAGCGTGAGATATGCAGGAGGCAGATGATCAATGATTCTCATTATTGATGTTTCTCTCCCCCTCTCTGAAATCAATAAAAAATACATATATTAAAAAAAATTAGGCCCTAACCGGTTTGGCTCAGTGGATAGAGCGTTGGCCTATGGACTGAAGGGTTCCGGGTTGATTCCCGTCAATGGCACGTACCTTGGTTGCTGGTACATCCCCAGTAAGGTGTGTGTAGGAGGCAGTGATCGGTTTCTCCCTCATCGATGTTTCTCTCTATCCCTCTCCCCGTAAAAAAATCAATAAAATATTTTTTTAAAATTAGGTTGGTGCAGTTTGTCTAGGCGTGCGTGGCCGGTCTGGGATGGATTCTTCTTCGAATTCCTCGGCAGCGGATTTGGGCTCAGTGCAGCATTCCATCAAGGTGGCGACTGAGAAGCAGCGCTTCCAGCAGCTGGTGCACCAGGTGACGGAACATTGTTGGGAGAAGTGCATGGACAAGCCTAAGCGAAAGTTGGACAGTCGGGCTAAGGCCTGTTTTGTGAACTGTGTTGAACGCTTCATTGATACAAGCCAATTCATCTTGAATCGATGGGAACAGACCCAGAAACCCAAGCCAGTCTTCTCAGAAAGCCTTTCTGACTGATTTCAGTATTGCCCTTTTGGAAAAGGAAAGTGGTTCAAGAACGGTTGAAGAAAAGGCTACAGGGGGATTTGCTCCCACCTTGTGGCACTCTGCAAGTATGTGGTCATCTGAAAATGAACAAAGACCAATATTTTTCTGTTTGGGGTTTGAGGGTCATATGTGTATTTAGTTACTCTTTGTTAACGTTAATCTTATGAAAACAATTGGCAGATGAATGGAAAACCTTAGATGCATATTACTGTATGTGGGACTATGTTTTTCTGAATGTCCCATTAACTACTTCCTATAATTTGGATAGTGGAACTGCTTTTTGTAATTTGATAGTGTGACCACATAGGTAAAATCTGTCTTTTGTGGATTCATTTCAGATGCCTATGGACATTGATACACATCTTGGTGTCTGAGAAAGGGTGGCAATGGGGGAAGAGTTATTTGGCACTTAAGTAGTGTTTTGACCATCAGTGCTGGGGAAAAAAATCTATAGAATATTCAAATAATACAATTCAGCTTTCTAAATTATCTCCCTTCCTGATACTGTGATTTACTTAAGTATATAAAGTATGGTCTCAGGTAGTACAGGCAGCCTGAAAATCCAGAGGCCTTTACTTATAAAGGAATCTAGCCAGCAAACATAATTCTCATTACTAAAGTGCCAAGAGGAAGAATTTAACTTATCCTGTATATCAGGGTCAAAGAAATTCAAAGACGAACCTAAATAAGTTGAAAAGATTTAGGCCTGTCAAAAACTAACAGCAGTTTCATGTAGAGGTGCATGTCTAATGTCAATCAGTATACATTCTATTTATTGCAGTTTTTTGATCACTGAAATAAAAGCTTCCACAAAATTAAAAAAAAAAATTGACTGGTTCACATGAAATAACAGCAATAAATAAATTTGGTAAGGCACCCTAATTTTAATAATCCTCTAATATAGTGATGACATTGATAGAACAATTACTCTGTAGAAAAAGTGAGCTCATATAAATACTACCGTAACTTAGAATTTGGTCCTGCATAAAACAAGAAAAATAGTCATGGCCCTAATGTAGAAATGGGTTCGGGGACAAGAAGAGAATATAGGGGCACTCGTGAAGCCTCCAAAAACCTTGCCAAACTCATAATGCATGAAGATATTATTGGCTATCCGTCATAATAGCAGAATCAGGAAATGTCCACATTCCTGATGACTGTAGGTATGATAAAGTATATGTTCAAGTCAAATATCACCACACTCTACATTAAAAGGTTATCTTGTATTTTTCTGTGGTCTTTCCCTCACCCTTACACTGCCATACAACAGTGCCATTCAACTGCTGAAGGCTATGAGAAGTGCACAAGGACTTCCCACTGAGAGGACATAACCAAAGCTAAGGAACTAACTGCCCTGCTGCTACAGATGAGCCATGTCACCAGAAAGTCTTTCATGTTTGCATCCACAGTAAACCTTGGATCTACAAATGAGACTCACAAGGCTAGAAAAATACTAAGGTAAAAGCTGGTTATATAAATCACATCAAAGTTCAATTCAAATTCTGAAGCAGTCTATTGGTTTTGACACTAATGCTTTGCAAGAAAATTCAATGTTCCTATTTAGAGACCAAAAAAACTAAATAAAAAAATCAACCATGGGAAAAATATAACTAAAGAACATTTATTTGTTTTTCACTAAGACTTTATCTTAGCACATAATTAAACTGTGTCACTACCCCCACCCCAACTTGAAGAAGGGTTAGTACAGTGAATGTTATAAAGCAGATATGAAGGATTGGAGTCAACATTAACTGACAAAGAAAAACTTCCTTCTAGATCATCATAACAATGTTTAAGTAAAAAAAGAAAGGGGGGGTGTGATGGGAGTTCAGATTGAACAAGATTCTCACATATCATCTAACACATTCAATCCTGGCTAGAGTGTACCAAAATGGAGACAGGATTACTATGATACAAAACTTCACTACAGATTGCTGTACACACCTGTTCCAAGCCCACCCCAACCCCCAAATGCTGCCAACACAACTATTTCCCGGCCTGTTGGGCCTGTCGACGAAGGAGCACGTAGATCTTCTCTTTAATCCAATCTTTGTTATAAGGCTGGTATGTCTGGGTATCAGCTCGGTAACTGAGGGACAGAAAAGCAATTAATTATTGTCATTTCTTTTTAAACTCCAAATTGTAACTACCCAATGCTGGCAGATACACAAATGGTCAGACATGAACTTAATGAAAATGTGAGAGTGCTGGTGTGGTTCAATGGATAGAGCATAAGCCTGTGAATTGAGTCCCAGGTTCAATTCCAGTCAAGAGCACATGCCCGAGTTACAGGCTGGATTCCCAGTAGGGGTGAGAGGAAGGCAGCCAATCAATGATTATCTCTCATTGATGTTTCTCTCTTTCCCTCTCCCTTCCTCTCTGAAATCAATAAGAACATTTTTTAAAAATTTAGAAGATGCCGAAGCCGGTTTGGCTCAGTGGATAGAGCATCGGTCTGTGGGCTGGGGGGGGTCCCGGGTTCGATTCTGGTCGGGGGCATGTACCTTGGTTGGGGGCACATCCCTGGTGGGGGGGAGGGTGCAGGAGGCAGCTGGTCGATGTTTCTCTCTCATTGACATTTCTAGCTCTCTCCCTTCCTCCTCTCTATAAAATATAAATAAAATATATATATTTTTAAAAATGTAGAAGAGCTGATTACATGTTGAATTTTTAAGCCACGTGTACCATCTGGTAGAAAAACCGCATGGCATCTAAAAGATGTGAAGGTGCAGTTTGCCTAAAAACAACAAAAACCTCAGGGATACGCTAGGATATCAATTTTCAATTGGTATGCCCCAAATAAAAACACGACAACAGCCAGCACTCTAATAGCTGTCCTGTGTGAATGAATCTAAATTATACTTTTTTTTGTCAGGTTGGCAAAAAAATAAATTTAATCCTTTTTACAATCCTGTGAGAGCAGAGTCCTCACTAGTAGCCCTGCACTCCAATTTTTGGCAAGAGAAACTCCAAAGGCATTGACATAGTCTTTCCCTGGTTTATTAAAAATGAACAGGCTTTCTCTTATAAAATGCTTAACCAAATAAAAATAAACACTTGACTTTTTATTAATGTCCGTTAGTTACAATGAGAGAATTTCAAAAAGTAAAACCATTTTATTTGAACATCCTCTTTAAAATATATTTTTAGTGATTTTAGAGAGGAAGGGAAGAAAGCAGCAATGATAAAATCATTGATCAGCTGCCTCCTGTATGCCCCACATCAGAAATAAGAGCCGCAATCTGGGCATGTGCCCTGACCCTTCCTTTCCCCCTCCCTTCTTCTCTAAAAATGTGCCATGACCTCCTGATTCATAGGTTGATGCTCAACTACTGAGCCCTGCCACTCGAGCTAAATACCACCCCCCCTTCCTAATTAAGTACTAATCTAGTCTACTTCAAAGTTTGGCAGAATAGACTAAAATATTTATATTAACATTGGAAAAGAACTAAAAAATAGAAATTTTCAGAACTATAATATCTGCGTGGAACAGCCTTATTCATTTAGACTACACCCTCAGCCCAACAAGATCTCTTTCATAGTGAACATTTAGAAATCTATCAACTTATAGGCTATTTTCCAACTCAAGAAAAAGTAATAATGCTTTCAGCTGTGCTTGAAAATGAGACAATTAAATCTTAGTACATTTATAAAATCCCAAGTTGTTGGCATAGACGAATCATTTAGCCTCGTGTTATGCTCAGACTGCAGGTTAATAGAATAGAAGCTATGGGGCTGAGAGGTGAAATCAGTCAGTGTCTTCATCATTGCTATTAGGTTGTCTTTCGGACGAGTGCCTCCTCATTACAATAACTAAGAATAAAAATGTCCCTTTTGTCTTTAAACAAACTAACAGCCTACATATTTTAAAAGCTGTTACTTTCATCTTATAAAAAGTCCGTCACTGCCAAGTAAACAATGAGTACAGTAATTTACAAATCAAAACTAGGCTTGCCCTGGCTGTTGTGGCTAAGTTGGTTGGGTGTCCTCCTGTGCATTGCTAGGTTGAAGGTACAATTTCTGTTAGGGCACATGCCTGGTTCAGGCTCTATCCCCAGTAGGGGGCGAACAGGAGGCAGCCAACCCATGTTTTTTCACATTGAAGTTTCTCTCTTCCCTTCCCTTCCTCTCTCTAAAAATAAAAAATAAAAAATTATGAAAATTGGACTCAATTCCTGGCCTAATGATAAAACAGCCCAAGTCAGAATCCAGGAAAAGAGGGGTAAGATGTACTAACTGTCATAATAACAGTTTTTCTACTTATTCAATTGCTTGTGATAGTTGTTTCAGAGCACTTCACACTCATAGCGACATCAGCACTCTTGATGGCCTCTTTATGTTTTAAAATTGTGCTAACTGTACATTTTGCCAGCAACAAAAGCAAAAAACAAACAAAACCTCATAGCACAATTTCCTGTTATTTTAGTTAGGTGCCCAAGAGATATATCAGCTTGAAAAGGTTGTCAAACCCAAAGGAGACATTTTTTTTTTGTCTTGTGAAGAACTTGGTTGAGAACCAAATTGTTCCAGATAGTAGATGTTTGGAGAAAGAGGTTTGACTTTACCTTATTACTATCAACATCAATAAACCAATTTCAAGCATCTCATTCAACAACTCTTTGACTCCACTCTGACCTATAGTTAATTGATCCTATTTCTGTCTCCACATCACCCCAAACCGCACTTATATTTATTTCATAGTCATTTGGTCCCTTGTACAATACTCACTTACATATACCCTTAACTTTTAACAATATATTTACTAATTATCTACCTGTAACTATCAGGTTAAAAGTGTCTAGGCCCTAGCTAGATAGCTTAATTGGTTAAAGCGTCGTCCCAATATGCCAAGGTTTGGGTTTGATCCCCTGTCAAGGTACATATATATATAAGAATCAATGAATGAATGAATAAATAATTGGAACAAAAAATTGATGTTTCCTTCTCTCCACCTAAATTCAATAAAAAAA